ACATCAAAAAGCACCCAAGTGCAAATGATGTAATATAAAAAAGCTAAAATCAGATCAAGTCACTGGTGCCTTCTGCCATAAAACTGAAGTTGAGATCATAATATGTAGGGTCCAATATACAAAGAAAGGAATCACATTTGAGACTGTATAAAGTTGCAAATAATTCTTACATTTCCATTTTTTTTTCTTCTTTTTTAGCTTGTTTTGTTACGGGCTTGTTTTGTTACGGAGTCATCAGATGACTCGACTTATGGAGTCATCTATAGTTATTCACAAATAATGTATTGACACGTGTCCTGCAATAAATGCACATTGGACATGTACATAAAGTTATGGATGGCTCCTTAAAGGAGCCATCCGATGACTCCATAGAGTTTATGCCAATAGTTAACCCGTCTGACATTTTAAATTATAATAAAAAAACACACTTATATTGAAAAATAGAATTTTTTGTTTTAAATTATGCAAACCAGTCATATTTTTTTTGGGAAATGCTACAGTTCCGTTATGGAACCATTTCGTTGGAGTTTGTAACCTTCCGTTAGAGTTTGTAACCGTTAGATCATCATGTAACCGTCAAGAATAGTTGATCTAACCGTTACAAATCTCGACGGAATGGTTCCATAACGGGACTGTAGTATCTCCCATTTTTTTTATGCAATTAGATGAAGCCTCAAGAATAGTTTTATAGGATTTCTGGAAGTGAAAGTACCATTAATTCAATCAAGAAAGTTACATAAAGCCTCAAACAGAGGTGCACCCATTATTGCCTTCACTATGCAAGAAAAAAAAAATAGACATTACAATACACATACAAAGGATGTTAAAACATCAACAACCTCCCCCAACAATAAAATGAAATCAAGTCACAATCGAGCCAAAAAAAAAAAAAAAAATCCGACACGATCAATGGCTCGATCGGACCCGTTTCTGAACACCTCGTCCATTGGCCGATTCCCCTTCAGACGAGACATCAATCGATTTGGCAGAGTCCGAGAGATTAGCATAAAGATCAACCACCCTCCTAATGTTGTTGTTAAGCTCCCTAATTAAGCCCACGTTCCGGGTCAAATTATCCGGGATTTTCGACTCGTGGTTCTGGTTAATCTCGTTGATCAACAGCCTGTTCTGGTCCAGAATGTTCTGGACCTGCACGAAATTCTTCTGGAACGTCTGAAGGAATTTGGCCTCGATGTGTGCTCCGTTGGAGATGCTCGAGAATATGTCGTCTTCCATCGAATGTTTTCTCTTCACTCAGTCAAAGTAACTAAAACCACTGCAATATACAGATAGATAGTTACAAGATAAGCTGGAAGTAACTAACTAACTAACTGTTAATACTAGAAAAGTTGTCAAATACTCAAATTATTTCAAGTATTTTTCCAAATTCACATATGCTCCTTTTAATTAGACACCACATCGATCCCTCTCGGGAGTTGATACTTATCTAACAGATATCTCATCTTTAAGAGTGCAAAATGTGAGAAGGGAACCAAATGTGGACAGTAAAACTAAAACTGTAAAGGATAATGCAAAGCTTCTTATAAGTAAATGATACGGTCCCGTTATGGAACCATTCCGCCGGGGTTTGTAACCGTTAGATCATCATGTAACCGTCGGGGATAGTTGATCTAACGGTTACATACCCCGACGGAATGGTTCCGTAATGGGACCGTAGCATCTCCCCTTGTTATAGGCTTATTGCAGTAGCTTTTGGCAATTAACTCTACAGTACCCTCTATTCATGTGTTCTTGTTCATATAGTCTTGGCAACTCAATAGTTCAGACAAATCCATGGAGCTCAAAAACTAATACAAATTAGAATAAGCTCTTCACATTACAGAAAGGCAAATAAAATTCAGAATAAGTTGGATAAAACAGAGACACACAGACAAAAAAGGAACAAAGAATGAAAGCAATGAGAAATACTGTTGTATTTGACAGCAAAAAAGCTGACTTCCTTTTCAACAAAGTAATTCTAATCTGATATGAGTTACATGTTCATAATTGGATCATAAAACCCCACAAAGTAAAAGAGTTTGCTGAAAATTGATTATTATTCTTAATTATTCAGAAGCCCCCAAATGAAGGGATCAGAAATTAAAGTAAACCCCACATAAAAAGATCACATTTTTACGACAACCCAATTGAGAAAAACAGCTCCTTTCATGGGAATTTGAACCGAACCCACAGAAGAAGACAGAACGAATTTGCAAATAGACCCCTCAAATTGATAAAGAAGCGAAAGCAGAACAGAGAAAAATGAATATGAAGAATTACTAACGGGCCGAAATTAAAGAAAAATCTGCCTGGGAATAACAATGGTAGTAGCAAAAGCTCAAGAATTTTCGATTTCTAGACAAGAGAGAGAGAGAGAGAGAGAGAGAGAGAGAGAGAAACATGTTCACGCAAGATTATAATATCCCCAACATTTTCCAGAACCTTGATAATTAGGACCATTATTTCTTCTCTCTTCCGGTCGCCTTCTTCACGTTGTGTGCGTGTGTGTGTGAGAGAGAGAGAGAGTAGTGAAGTAAGTGGGAGAATTTTGTTGTGTGTGGCTCAATCAATCTTGTATTTTGGCTTTCTCTCTCTAGAATTAGAAGGTGTTGGGGTGGAGAGAGAAGGGGGAATGGACAGATGGATTAGATACTTTTTCTCCCTGGTTTACTTCCCTCTCCTTTCATCCATTGCTCGCCTTTATCTAGGATGAAAAAAATGATGAGGAAAAGTCAACTATTCCGTCAGAATATGTAATCGTTGGATCAACTATCCACAATGGTTACATGATAATTTAACGATTACAAATTTCGACGGAATAGCCCTCTAGCATTTCCCATTTTTCCAATATCCCATTTTTCCAACATCCCATTCTTTTGGACATGTCTATATGAAACCAATGTTTCCAAACGGCTATAACCGTTCTTATGTTCAAATTTTTAATGTCTTTCTCCATATTTATCACAATTAATATATAAATAAAAATTTTAATGTCTTTTCAGGCATCGATAAAAATTTTACAACTCAATTAATAATTAACAAACAAAGTAAACAAATATTAAATGATATAAAATTATTTGTTTTGTTTATATGTAGCATAAATTAAAAATGTTCTGTTTCCAGTCATAACATTGCACGAGAACAATCGGCCCATATATGAAGTCCATGAGGTGGCAGTCTGAGGCCCGGAAACTATTAGGCCCAAAATAGTTGCTTATAATGAAAAGACAAAAGGCCCAAAAATCAGATATCTATACAAGGTTGGTGTTCTTCCATACTTCCATTGAAAGCTGTAGAGAGGTAAGTTCATATTTGATATTTCCCAGTCGTCTTCTCAAACGCCTAAGCGTAAAAATCCTATTGAAATTTTAGCGAAATTATGTATCATACATACCCCATAGATTTTGATCTTGATGGTAGCATATAAAGTTCTCAATTTTTCATTTACTTGTATATTAGAATCTGTGGCAACTAATCTTCTGAATGTTACGTCAGCCCTAATTATCTGGTTTTGAAGCACCCAACAATGGCGTCGGAAGCACAGAAAGGTATGCTCCCGTCCCATATACAGCCTTTTTATTGATTTTTTATTGCTATCAATTTCGTGTATTGATTGATGTGTGCAGTGGTAGTTCATCTGAGAGCCACCGGTGACGCTCCGATTCTCAAGCAATCCAAATTCACGGTTTGTTTGTTTGCTTTGCTTTTCTGAAAATTCAGACCGAATTGCATTGTTCGTAGACTCGTGTTGTGTTGGATCACTGTTTAGAATAAATTGAATTGTGTTTGATATAGTTTTTGTCCTGTCTTAGAGTATGTTAGAATATAACTTGTGAGTTGTTCCACATCGTTTATATAGGAAAAATAGGCCTAATTTATAAGTCTAGTGGGCTACTTCTCATTTAACCAATTGATTTTGGGATGAAACCTCACTTTGGGCTTCATTTGAGCTCTCCATGCTTATGGTGCGCTTCATCTGCGTAGGACCACACTCGTTTTTTCCCCCCGTTTCTTACAGAGTGGTTTTGATGTTGTAGCTTTTACTTTCCTTTCCATTTCATTTGAAATTTGAGATGATTCTTTCTAGAATGGACTAAAACGCCTCTATAGCCATAGCTACTATCTCTCTCAGTTGGAAAATACGACGATTTATTGGTCCAGAAAGCCTGGCAATCTGCAAAACAATTTAGCCTTGTTATGATTGTTACTTTTTATCTGTAATCTTCAACAAGGTCGAAAGAATTTCCCGCTTGAGAAAGTGAGGCGATTTCCAATCCTGAACAGTTTCATGTGATTTTTTTCGCTTTATTTGAGATTTTGCTATCTGTATGTGTGTAAGGTCAATTTGTGGAAGGGCTTTTCAACGTCAGTTTTTAATTTTGTTCAGTCATTGGCTATACATTTGTAGTTATGCTCCCTGCATATTATTTTATATCGAGTATGTGTACCGGATAGTTAAGTCAATTTGTAGAAATCGAGGAATCTTTTTCTAGTTTTGCCTTATATGTTTTCTCTTTTCTTCTGAAATATGCAGATTGCCGGAACAGACAAGTTTGCGAAAGTAATCGATTTTCTTCGCCGTCAGCTTCACAGGGACACACTGGTAAGCTTTTCTGTACTATTTTAGTTGGCCTTGGTCAACAATGCAAGCTTTACTTTCTCTCTCTTATTGTATAGTGTTGCTAAATGTCCTTTATTCGTTCAGTTTGTGTATGTAAACAGCGCCTTCTCACCGAATCCTGATGAGCTGGTCCTAGAACTTTATAATGTAAGTCATCATTGTCATGACATCTTGTATATTGGTAAATGAGATTATTTTATTTTTTCTGGAAAAAAAAAATGCTGTTTCTGTTTTTGTAAAACGTCAATTTTAACGAGTCTTGAAATATGGGTTGATCACTATTCTCATTTAGGGATTGAGTTGTCTGTTAGTCTGCATTTTCATCCTTCTCAGGGAACTGCTACATTATATATTTCAGAATTTCGGCATTGATGGCAAATTGGTGGTCAATTACGCATGCTCCATGGCGTGGGGGTAATTACTTCCGAGGAACGAGTTCTGTACATTCATTAGAAGTCGACATATGGTATATTTCACACTACCCTTATTTGTTTTCTTTCTCTCTCTCTCTCTCTCTTTTTTTTTCAACTTAACATCGGTATCTATTTTGTTAAGATCAATTTGATTTTTCCTTCTGCGCATGCTTTAAAAATCAATTTGATTCTTCAGTAAATGGCTTCTATTTCGTCATTTTTCCTCATCTAGCTGCTGAAAATGTTATTATGGCCACTAATTTGCTGCTAATATGAAGTTATTTTCATAAAGCAGGTTATAGGTTTTACTGACAAGGAGTGGCACCGTGAATTCAGAGGGCTACAGATGGTTTACATTCATTCGATAAAAGCGGATTAATTTGCTGGTACAGCCACAATTCGACTGTACAAAAAAATTCTACACGATTGATTTTTTCGTATTCATGGGTTAAAAAGACCCGGTATTTTATGCCAAGATTTGTTTGGTTTGACATGGAGGAATCGAAGATAATGTTGTGTCGATTTTTACTTTTCCTTTTATTTTCTCTTGCAACAAAGAAGTTCAGCTGTATTCTACAGTTACTAATGCCTTCTTGGCTACTTCCGAACATTAAATTTGTCTTGCAAATAAAATGACATCGGAGGAGGTTTATCATTATAGTTTGTCAGTAAAATGTTGTCTGAACTCAGTTGGCCTTTGTTGAAAAATTTTCATAAATTTCAACGAAAATATTTCGTTGGAGTGATTTATTTAATAAAATATTTGTTGGATTTTGACAGTTTCAACAGAAAATTTTCATATAAATTTATTTAGGGTTAATTGCAAAAAAAATCACGACCTTTTGTTAAATTGCAAATAAGTCTCAATTTTTTCAATTTTGCAAATAAATCTCAACTTTTATTAACTATTACAATTTTGTCTCAATTTTGAACTCCGGCCATCCGCCGCCACTGGCCGCCGCCCAACCTCGCCGGAATTGAAAACTTTTCACGTCATCGTGTAGCTCTCCTTCCAAGCAACAACATATCCGAAGTTCGTGTAAAAATTACGACAATAAGGGATCTAATTTTGCCGGAGACGGGCGGCGGTCTACTTGCTTTTACCGGAAAATTGGACCACTTATTGTCGTAATTTTTACACGAACTTTGGATATGTTGTTGCCCGGAAGGAGAGCTACACGATGACGTAAAAAGTTTTCAATTCCGGCGAGGTTGGGCGGCGGCGGGTGGCCGGAGTTCAAATTTGAAACAAAATTGTAATAGTTAATAAATGTTGAGATTTATTTGCAAAATTGAAAATGTTGAGATTTATTTGTAATTCAATAAAAGGTCGTGATTTTTTTGGCAATTAACCCATTTATTTATTATCTTTTTTCTATAATGTGAATATTATCTCACTTCTCGAATTTTGTCTTCTGTCCGTATTATTATCTTTCGGGTTTCGAACGATAATATTGCAAATAAAATTACTGATGTTGTATACGAATAAATTTCAAGAACTTAAAATAATATTATAAATTCACTCAGTTGTTTACTATAAATTGTTATATATATATATATATTTTCATTCAATAAAATATATAAAGGAAGGCACATGCCCATAGAAAAAGCCGTTCAAAATCCATCATGCCAATTGTTTGTTTATGTGAACTTAATTAGTCTGTCCAAATTCCATATTATTATGAATGCATAAATTCTGGTAGAGAATCATTAAGAGGAATATTCATGATTATTTATAGGAATGCAAAAGGGGACACAAATGAAAATGGAATAGATTATAGTTAAAAACTAATGCATTAGCTAGACATGGCCAGGTGCCGGGTCCAGGCCCGGCCCGCCGGGTCGGCAGGCCTCAATTGTTGGATCCATAACCGGCCCGGCAATTCCTATGGGCCCAGCACGAACCGCTAGGTTAAAAATAAATAAATAAATAAATAATAAAAATCAACAATTATGACCCATCGAAAAAATTGGAACCGACTCGGCTTGGCGGGTCCAAAAAAAAATGAGAACCGTGACCGAACCGCATGGGCAAGGTCCGGTTCATAGGCACGCGCGATTCCGGGCCGGTGCCGGTGCCGGTTCGTGGTCCGGACCACGGGTCGACCGACCTGTGGCCATGTCTAGTATTAGCTCAAGCAGAAAATAAATAAATAAATAAATAAAGATTGCCACTTACGTCGTAATGTTATCGCTAGAGATGTTAAACGGTCCTTGGCCCAACGGGCCGGCCCGTTTAGCCCGAAAAAAAAAGGGTTAGATCATTTTTTTAGTAGCCCGTTTAAATCAGGGCTTTTTAGGCCCGGATTGTTTAAACTGAAGTCCGATAGGGCTAGCCCGAAGCCCGCTAGGGCTAGTCCGTTTAATTTGTATATTACAATTTCACTACTTTAACTTTATATGTAACTATGAGTTGTAGCGGGTTATTATGATTTTGAAAGATAATTATTAACTATTTCGTTATTCTACTTCACGCCAAATTATTTAAGCCAATTAGAACCGCTAATAGAAAATACCAGTGTTCTAGAAGTCGTTAGGCACTCGCTAGGCGCCCGACCAGCGCCTAGCGCCTAGGGCGCTTAGTCGGGGCCTAGGCGGGGTCTAGGCGGGGCCTAGAAATTATAATAAATATATTATTTTTATTTATTTTTACAATTTCACTAATAAAATTATAACTTATAATTAATAAATCTATACACCTAAGTCTCAATAATATTATTAATATTATATTATAAAACAAATTCCAAGTCAAAATAAGTACATAACCACAATATAAATTCTTCTCATTGTAATTTTATCAAACACATTATCAACATGTTAAGTTTTAAACATTACACAAAATAAGAAATAAAAAAATATATGCATTTAGTAAAAAAAAAAAGAAAACTGTAAAAGCCGCCGAGAACCTGCCTCAGCCGCCTAGAATCCGCCTCAGCCGCCTAGTCCCGCCGAAATCGCGTAGCCGCCGTGACCGCCTAGCTCCGCCTAGGCCCGACTAGCCCGCCTGGCCGATTTTTATGGCCGATTTTAGCAAATCGTAGGCGGCGCACTGCCGCCTAGCGCCTAGGCGCCGCCTAGGCCGACTTTTCGAACAGTGAAAAATACATGAGACAAAGACCCAACACATAGAACATAGTGATAGAATATAAATTCAACAGTAAGATATAATATTGTGAAAATTTTCAAAGCGTACAAAAATAAGTAGTAAATGGTTATTATAAGTAATAGATTGAACATTTTTTTTTTCTTTTGAGAAAACATGTCACTTAAGAGTTTGTAACGAGTGTTCACACATGCAATGTAGTTGTATATATATAGAGCGGTAAATACTAAATAGCCGTTGAAAACAATCGTGAACTAGCCGTTGTAATTTTTATTTATATGTTTTTTTTATATATTATTATTATTGTAGCCCGTTTAGTCCGAAGCCCGCTAGAGTTAGGGTTAGGTCTTTTTATTGGTAACTCGTTTAAATTTCGACTTTTTAGGCTTGAACCGTTTAGCCTGAAGCTCGTTAGGGCTAACCCGAAACCGCCAGGGCTAGCCCGTTTAACATCTCTAATTATCGCCTAAGCAATTATTAAGTCTAAAAGTTAGAGCCATATGTCCTGGTGCAATTCATCACACCATTTAGTTGACAAAGGCGAATCATTAAAGGTTAATTAATAGAATGAATCATTAAAAGTAGAGATGTTAAACGGTCCTTGGCCCGACGGGCCAGCCCGTTTAGCCTGAAAAAAAACAGGGTTAGGGCTTTTTATTGGTAGCCCGTTTAAATCAGGGCTTTTTAGGCCCGGACCGTTTAAACCGAAGCCCGTTAGGGCTAGCCCGAAACCCGATAGGGTTGGCCTGTTTAACTTGAGTTGGGCGTTGTAAAATGTTTGCAGTAAATAAGTAATATGCTCTTAGATTCATTATATATTACAATTTTGCTACTTCACATGTAAGTATGAGTTGTAACGGATTATAATGATTTTGAAAGATAAGTAGTATTAATAATATTATTATTGTACTCAACACTAAAATATTTAAGTCAATAAGAACGACCAATAGGAAACACATGAGACAAAGACCTTACACATGAAACATAGTGATATAATTTATAATGATATAATATCGTAAAATTTTTCAGAGCGTACAAAATAAGTAGTAAAATGATAATTGTAAGTAATAATTCCAATATTTCTGTGTTTTGGAAAAAAAAAATGTTATTTAAGAGTTTGTAGTGTGTGTTCATATATGATGTGTAGTTGTACATATAGAGCGGTAAATACTAAATAACAGTTGAAAACAATCGCTAATTAGTCGTTGTAATTTTTATAATTTTTTTATTTTATTTTTGATATTTTTTGATACATCATTATTATTATTATTATTATTATTATTATTATTATTATTATTATTATTATTATTATTATTATTATTATTATTATTATTTTTATTATTATTAAAGCCCGCATAGCCCGTTTAGCCCGAAGCCCGCTAGGGTTAGGGTTAGGTCCTTTTATTGGTAGCCCATTTAATTCCGGGCTTTTTAGGCCCGGACCGTTTAGCCCGAAGCCCGCTAGGGCTAGCCAGAAACCGCTAGGGCTAGCCCGTTTAACATCTCTAATTAAAAGTTAGAGCATCTCCAATAGCTTTTGGATTGCCCCATTTTGTTGCCACATGGCACAAAAAATCCTAGGTGGCCTAAAAAAATTTTAGAAGTCTTTCTAGATCTAGAAGTACTTCTAGACAACTTCTATTATATATTATATTATTTATTCAATTTTTTCTTTTTTTTTTCAACCAATTATAAAATTGCACATGTCAAATTAAACCATTTTTAACCTTAACCATTGGAGACACAATGTTTTAAACTCCTTCTTTCATGTCATGCAACCCAAAATAGACAAGATACCATTGGAGATGCTCTTAGAGCCATATAGCACAAATTATTTGAACCGACCTTTTTGACAAAATTGGACTTTTCTCCCATTTATTTTGCAAGCCCAGTTATGAAAAG